TAAGTTTTATAAAGTGTCCATTTATATTTTTTTATGTTCATGATTTTGTCATATTCAAAAACTGTAGCCAAATCCAAGGTCAAATATTTGCCTCTGTGTTTTTTTTGAGAGTTTTATAGTCTTAGCTTTTATATTTAGATCTTTGATTCATTTTGTGTTCAGAACATATGGTGTGAAGTAAGAGTGCCACGTCATTCTTTTGCATGTGGATACCTGATAGTCCCAGTGTCAGTTTTTGAAAGAGACTGTTCTTACCCCCATTGGATGGATCTGGCATCCTTTTTAAAAATCAGTTGACTTATTATTTTATGTCTTGGGTCTCAGTTCTATTCCATTGATCCACATGCTTATGCTTTTGTTTATTGCCAGCAGTGTCAGTTGCCTGATGTGGAATATGGGACATAGCTCCTCTTTGGCATTAGGGTTCTTTTCTGCATGGCTTCCCTCTTCTTGTCTTTTTTTTAAATTGCATCAGAAATTTTATTGCCTAATTTTTGAAAACTTTTGCTACTGAGTAAGAAACCACAAAAGAAACTTTAATATTATGTCCAGTGTACTAAATTGCATGGTTTTGAACATTGAGTTTTTTTTTCTATTGTGATATAGTTGACATATAACATTAGTTTCAGGTGTACAACATGATGACTCATTATATGTATATGCTGTGAAATGATTATCACAGTTACTGTATTTAACATTTATAACCACATGCAGTTATATCTTTTCTTTCAGATGAGACCTTTTAACATTTACACTTCTAGCAACTTTCAAATATACAATACAGTATTATTAACTACAGTCATTATGCTGTACATTACATCCCCATGACTTACTTATGTTATACATGGGAATTGGTACCTTTTGACCAATTCACCCGTTTTGCACACCTCACACCCTCTACCTCTGGTAACCACCATTGGGTTCCCTGTATCTATGAGTTTGTTTTTTGTTTGTGTTTTAGGTTACACATATAAGTGAAATCATACAGTGTTTGTCTTTTTGTCTCTGTCTCTGTAGCATAATGCCCTCAGCATCCAGCCATGTTTTTGCAAATGTCAGTATTTCTTTCTTTATATGGATAAATAGTATTCCATTGGATGGATAGATGGATGGATAGATAGGTATAGATATACATCTGTGTGTGTATCTGTCTATCTTGAAGGAAATTAAAACTGCTATTCTAGTAAACACATAAATAAGAAAGCAAAACAGTCCTCATGCTCATATGGAGATAGATTTAGTGGCTAGAAGATCCAGCCAGCCATAACATTCCCTTATGCCAAAGCCTAATCTCGATTAAGACCCTAACTTTCCTCAATTCTATTAAAGATGAAAATGGTGAGGAAGCTGCAGAAGAAAAGTTTGAATCTAGTGGAGAGAAACCATCTTCATAACATAAAAGTGCAAGGTAAAGCTACAAGGGCTGTTATACAAGTTGCAGCAAGTTATCCAGAAGATCTAGATTCATGAAGGTGGCTACACTAAACAACAGATTTTCAGTGTGGATGAAGCAGCCTTATATTAGAGGAAGGCACCATCTGGGATTTCCATGGCTAGAGAGGAGAGGTCAAACCTGGCTTCAAAGGACAGGCTGACTCTCTCATTAGGTGCTAATGCCACTGGTGACTTTATGTTGCAGCCAATATTCATTTACCATTCCAAAATTCCTAGGACCTCTTAGGATTTATGCTACATCTATTATGCCTGTGCTCTATAAATAGAACAACAAAGCCTGGATGAAAGCATATCTGTTTACAACACAATTTACTAAATATTTTAAGCCCACTATTGAGACCAACTACTTAGGAAAAGAGATTCTTTTCCAGAATTACTGCTCATTGACAATGCAGTTCTGATGGAGATGTACAATGAGATTAATATTGTTTTCCTGCCTACTAACACAGCATTAATTCTGCAGCCCATGAATTAAGAAGTCACTTCAACTTTTAAGTATTATTATTTAAGAAATATATTCTGTAAAGCTGTAGCTGCCATAGGTAGTGAATTCTTATGGGTGTGGACAAAAGTCAATTGAAAACCTGGAAAGGATTCACCATTCTAGATGCCATTAAAAACATTCTTGATTCATGGGATGAGGTGAAAAGATCAGCATTACCAGGAGTTTGTAAAGAGTTGATTCCAACTCTCATGGATGACTCTGGGGGGTTCAAGACTTCATTGGAGGAACTAACTGCAGATGTGGTAGAATTAGCAAGAGACCTAGAGTTAAAAGTGGAGTCTGAAGATGTGACTGAATTGCTGCAATCTGTGATAAAACTTTAATGGATGAGAAGTTGCTTCTCATGGATGAGGAAAAGAAATGGGTTTCCTGAGATGGAATCTACTCCTAGTGAAGATGCTGTGAAGATTATTGAAATGATAACATAGGGTTTAGTATATGACTTAAACCAAGTTGATAAAACATTGGAAGGGTTTGAGAGGACTGACTCTAGTTTGAAAGAAGTTCTGTGGGTAAAATGGAGTAGGATTGTGTGGTACAGAGAAATCTTTCGTGAAAGGAAGAGTCAATTGATGCAGCAAACTTCACTGTTGTCTTGCTTTAAGAATAAGGGTGGTGGTACCCTAACTTTTAGCAGCCACCCCCCTGATCAGTCAGCGTCTATCAACATCGAGGCAAGACCCTCCACCAGCAAAAAAGACTACGACTCGCTGAATGCTCAGATGATGGATAACATTTTTTAACAATAAAGTAATTTTTTTACTTGTGAATTTTTTTCCTCTTTATTGTACATATTAGATCATTTTAATATTCAGGAGTCCTCAATCAGACATGGACTGATTGGGTCCAAATAGATAATAAATGTATTTATATTTTCTAGAAACTAATTTTTAAGCTGAAATATAGTTGGCATACAATATTATGTTAGTTTCAGGTGTATTAACATAGTGATTTGATATTTGCATACATTATGAAATAATCACCATGTAAGTCTAGTAACCATCCATTCCCATACAAAGTTATTACAACATTATTGACCATATTTCTTATGCTATGTATTACATCCCTGTGGCTTATTTATTTTATAACTGGAAGTTTGTACTCTTTAATCCTCCTCACCTCATTCTCCCCCACTGTGAAGTCTTTTTAAATTAAGATATGTACCTTTTTTTAAAAGACATAATACTACAGTGATCCTTGTCCTTTTTAAAAAATCTGATTGTTTGGAGGTTTTTTGCTATTGAGTTGTATGTGTTCTTTATATATTTTGTTTATTAACGCCTTTCAGATATATGATTTACAAGTATTTTACCCCGTTTGCTAGCTTGCCTTTTCATTTTGTTGATGGTTATTTTGTTGATGGTTTCCTTTGCTGTGTAGAAACTTTTTAGTGTGATGTAGTCCCTTGTTTATTTTTGCTTTGTTGCCTTAGCTTTTGGTGTCAAATCCAAAAAAAAAAAAAAAATCCAGAAAAACAGTCTTCACTTTTCTCATCTTGCATGGCCTCTGGCCTCTGCTGACTAGAAGGAGCACTCTATTCCTGAGCCTTTTTTTTTTTTTTTTTTTTTTTTACTTGCAGTCTGCTCTGGTGTCCAGATTGGGATATATAGGAGGTAAAAATAAACCTCATGGAACTCACTACCTAGGCCTCTCTTAATTTCTGAATTCTCTCCCCGTTCTGTCTTCCTCTGTTCACATTTCAGAATCTTCCAATATTTGCTTTACGTGTTATTTCCGTGGTTCTAAATTGCAGTTAATGGGGGCATTCAGGGAATGTGCCACTCTGTCGTGACTAGAATGGGAACTCTACTCCCATAATCATTTATTGACTGAATGATTAAATGAATACATGTGTATCTTGCCTATTAAGTTGCTCAGAAGCCTTTGTAGGTGTCAATATAGCAATAGGTACAGTATTAAGAGAATTAAGATAAATTCCCATGGGAACTCATAGGCGTAGGAATGAATTATTTCTAGCTATTTTGGAATAGGACATATGGTGTGGTGATGAGGCACAAAAATTCTAACACCAAGTGAGTGTCTTGTAATTCGATTCAGTCCTGACACTACCCAGGTTTAGCAGAGATCCACAGGTTAAGGACAAAGTCCTCAATAAGACCGCTCAACTTCAGATGCCAGCCCCAAGTCTCAGGGGCCTCTTGCACTTATGACCTACTGGCTATGAATCTGGGGATTCCCACAACCCCCTCAGATTGAGAAATTTGCTAAAAGGACTCAGAGAACTCACTCAAAGTGTTACACCAAAAATTACAGTTCTGTTATAAAAGTTACAACCCAGAAACAGCCAAATGGAAGCAATATATAGACCAAAGTCTAGGGGTGGGGTGGGGCGGGGTGGGAGTTGAAAGAGGAAGATAAACAGAGCTTCTCTGCCCTCTCTCCTCATGGAATCTGGGCACATCAGCCTCCTAGCACGTCAGTGTGTTCACCAGCCTGGAAGTACCACTGAGTTTTGTTGTCCAGAGGTTTTATTCGGGTTACCTTACATAGGAATCATTGATTAAATGATTGGCCATGTGATAAAACAACTCTAGCTCCCCTCTCTTCCTTGTAGGATTGATCAACCCACAATTCCAACCCTTTAATCATGTGATGGGTCTTTCTGGTAACAGCCCTCATCCTGGGGCTACCTAGGGGCCACCTTGAGTTACCACATTAGCACAATAAAAGAACCCTTGTCACTCAGGAATTCTGAAGGTTTTTGAAGCTCTGTGCTAGGAACTAGGGACAAAGGACTCTATACCACAGGTCATCAAATAAGATTTCAAGGAGAATGTGGCATTTCAGTAATATCTTGAAAGATAGCTAGAATTTAAACATTTGAAGATGGAGAAAAGGGAATTCCAGTCTGAAGAATCACAGGGGCACATACTCAAAAGTGCAGAGTTCAATATATAGAAATGTATCAAGTACTTTTTTAGCTTTGGTCTGAGATCTGTGAAAAGCAACAATAAGATAAAGCCAGATTGGGGTTTTCATTTAACCGTATTTATTAATCTAGAGCCCTTTATTTCCACAGAGCAGAAGAAAGAAGAGATCTGTTTATGTTTTTCCGAAGCCTACACTTCTTTGTGGAGTGGTGTGAATATCGTAAGCGCACATTTAAACATTTCAAGGTACAGTCTAAAGTCTTTTAATTTAAACATATATGAAAAATGAAGGTGATATTGATTTGGGGTGTTAACATAGCATTCTTAAAGCTTTCAGACAACAAAATATTTTTATTGGCTTCTGGAATTTATAGATATTTGGAATAAATGAAGGAGGAATGCTTCTGTACAAATCAGTGAACCATTTATATTGAAAGTGTTGGGGGTGAGAGGTTCTTGTCTTGTCACAGAAAGAATTCAGAGACAAGACGCAGAGGTTAAGAAAGCAAAGCAAGGATTTCTTAAGGGACAGGTGGTACACTATCAAGGAAAGAGCGGGCAGACCCAGGTGGGTGGCTGCCCTGAGTCTCCTTGGCAGGCTCGTTATGTAACTGCAAAAATGAGTGGTCAGAATAGTCATTGCTGGGGAGGGGTTTGGGGTCTTCCTTCCTGATCTTCATCCCAGCTCCTCCTTCTGAGGTGGAGAGGAGGGATTTTT